CTGGCTGTCTGGAAGGCCCCTGTTCAGTGGGGTCTCAAGAGAGGAGGGCTCCCATGAGTGTGGTACACATCTGTAACCTCAGCACTCAGGAGGTGAAGTCAAAGTGAAGTCAGAACGATCAGGACACTATACAGTGAGTTTGAGGCCTATCTGGGTAACATGAGACCCAGAGAGAGAAAGAGAAAGAGAATGAGTTAAGGATTGTTCTTAGCTGCCTTGTGGGTGCTGGAAACCGAAACCCAGGTTCTTTTGTGACAGGATCTTATACATGCCAGCCTAATCTGGAACTCCCTATGTAGCCAAGGATGGTCTTGAACTCCTGATCCTCCTGTCTCTACCTCTTTAGTGGCTTGGTCTTTTGAGACAGGATCTAGGTATGTCACCAAAATGGACTTGGAACTTGTGATCCTCCTGCCTTGTCCTCCTGGAGTGCTGGGATTACAGGTGAACACCACCATGCCTGGATTTTGGTCCTCAGTACTGTGTGAGCTGGGTACATTCTGTGACCTGTCCAGCCTGACTTTTAACAAGGACAGAAATGTCTTCAGGCCTGGCTTCCTCGGGGCCTGGAAGAGCTGAGAGTTTAAGAGACTTAATGGGAGAACTCAGCGTAACCCAGCAGAGACAATTTAGGTGAGGCCTATGGATGAGATATAGAATGGAATCCTTTTAGTATCTCCCAGACTGGAGCTGTGGAGTTGTCACCAGGGAGAATGAACCAGACAGCAGAGTCTAGGGTAGGAGGATGGTCTGGATCCTTCCCAAGAGCTGGTGATGGGCCAGGACCACTAAAAAAATGTCATTTTGGACTTCCTTTGCCTCTTTCTCCTTCTCTTTCTTCCTCCCCCTGCCCCACCCCCAGTCTTTTTGAGATAGGTTCTCCCTATAGCCCCAGTTGGCCTGGGACTCACTATGTAGACCAGGCTGAACTTGATCTCAGAGATCCACCTGGCTCTGCCTCCCAAGTGCTGGAATTAAAGGCGTGCACCACCACGCCTAGAGCCTTTTGTCCTTTTCTCTTAGTCCCACTTTTACATAGCTTCCTCTAAGCTGCAGGGGTTCTAAACCCTTCTTCAGGAATGGAATGTGAACACTGCTCTGGTGTTTTTTCTCTCAGATGTCTTCGCAGACATTGTACTGATAGATAAATACTTTAAACAGAGCAAGGATGCACTGCCAGGCCTGGAGAGATGGCTCAGCGTTTAAGAGCAGGCATGCTCTAGCAGAGGACCAATTCCCAGTATCCACATCAAGCAGTTCACAACCACCTTTAACTCCAACATTCTAGCCCTCATGGGTACCCACACTCATGTAGGTATACACAGACACAGACACACACACACACACACTTAAATAAATAAAAAATAAAAGGAACACATTGCTATGACAGAATGTGTTTGGTTGTGGTAAAGAAACTGCTTCTGTGGTTCCATTCACCTGTAATCCCAGCACTCCAGGAGGACAAGGCAGGAGGATCACAAGTTCCAAGTCCATTTTGGTGACGTACCTAGATCCTGTCTCAAAAGACCAAGCCACTAAAGAGGTAGAGACAGGAGGATTAGGAGTTTAAGACCATCCTTGGCTACATAGGGAGTTCCAGATTAGGCTGGCATGTATAAGATCCCGTCACAAAACGACCTGGGTTTCGGTTTCCAGCACCCACAATGCAGCTAAGAACAATCCTTAACTCCAGTTCCAGGGGATCTAACACCCTCTCTGACTTCCATGGACATTGCACACCCTGGGTGCAATTACATACATGCAGGCCGAACACTCATACACATAAAATAGTCACATAAATAAATAAAATAAGATAAAATAAAAGTTGTGTGGGGACTCTCCCATGGTTTCAGATCCAGCTTGCTCTCTCATTTTGACACTTTGAACAGCTTCTTGCCTCTCATCTCCCTTTGATCTCCCAACTTCCACAGCAAACCACAGACCCCCTGTGTATGAACATTTACATATCTAAAGTTCACATTTACATTTTATAACATAAACTCCTGGAAAACAGGTCTGAGTCCAACCCCCTAATCTACTAGAGGGAAGAGAGCCTTCACCTGCCCAACCTGCCACAGAGGTATAAAGCTACTGAGTTGGAGGGGCTGTGAGCACTCTGCACTTGGGTATGAGCTTGTGTAGTCTCAGACTTTTGCGTGATCTATTAAAATGAATCCCTTGTAAGTAGCCTCGAGTCATCCTGTAGGCCCTGTAGGGTTGTGTGTTTGGGAGGCCTCCATCAGCATCTCCTTTGTAAAATGAGCTGAGGATGGAAGGTGGCAGGAGCTGATGAATTGCACCTGCCCCAGAGCATGTACACAAGGATGCTCCATCAATGTCACTGTGATGTGATTCCCAATAGAAACTTTCCACCTCTCTTCCTTCCTCTGACCAACTACCTCTATAGAAAGGGCTCCAATGCTCCCCTTGGAAATATCACTGCTCTTAGCCTGGGTTAAGAGGGTTCAGACAGAGGCCAGAGTAACTGCAGTCACACTATGTTCTCTCACTTGGCCTTCAGGCCAAGCCAGAGACAGGGAGGGAGGTCCCTTTCGGGGCTCTGTCAGGCCTAGGGAGGATGGAGAATGGAGAGGGAGCACTGACTACAGGGCCTTCCAGAGAAACGAAGGAACTCAGAACCAGACTGGTAGCCCCAGACAGGTCCCAACTGGAGTGCCCAGTGCCCACTCAGGAACCTACTGGAACCTTCATGGAGACCACATCAGAGCTGTCTTCCTAGAAAAACCATCTGCCCTCCTCCCCCACCTCTCTCAGCTCTGGGATTCACACCCCTCCCTAAACTGGTTCCATGTGCCCCAAACTGGGATTTGCTCAGGCTTGCCTCTCCTTCCTTGGGCACGGTTCCTGGGAATGCTCCATTACTTTGGTCTTTATTGTAGCTATTCACCTAACAAGTATTTTGTGCAACTCCCATCAGCTCCTGAACGAGACTCAGGGAGGTCTTGGAAATAAATCCCCCTCTGGGCCCTGGAGAGCTTCCTGGATACAGGAAACAGAATGAAAACAGCCACACCAGAGACAGACCAGGATGCTGAAGGACTGACCCAGTCCATGGTGGAAGGCTTCCTGGAGAAGAGGCTCAGCAGACTGGAACCTTAAAAAATAGTTTGGCAGAGAAGAGAAGGGGTTTGTTTTTATTTGCCTAAGTTGATTCTGTAGAATGGGCCCTATACAGGTGCCTGGGATTTAACATTCTTGTCCCAGTTCTGACCCCTGCAGGCTGCAAGAGTTTGCTAAAACCATTTCCTGCTCAGAACCTCCACTGCCTTATCTGCAAAGTAGGAATGTTTGTTTGGATAGAAGAATTCTGAAAGTCATCCCTACAGGCCTGTGGGCCCTTGAGACGGCAGTCAGAGCAATCCAGCTCCCCTAGCTGCTTGCCTGCCACCTTGCACTGTGTCTAGCATAGCAGACATTTATTGGATGACGTAATGGCACTATGACCAATATCTTGGACAAAACTGAAACCCTGCCTACCCCCCCACCCCCGCCCCATCAACAAACAGGTCACTTTGGGCTTCTGTTTCCTATTATCCAGAGGTTTGCTTTCTGATAAGATGGCGGAAGGACATCATCTATCCTGGGGCCTCTGGTTTCCACAGCAATGAATAGAAAAGTGGGCTACAAAACAGCTCTACAGAGCACAGACCTTGAGGAAAATAGCTGGATTCGGGCCAGTTTACATTTACTGAGTACCTACTGTGTACCATTGTTTTCACATACCTTAATTCACTTTTTAACCTTAATTCATTTAATCATGGTCTCAGAGGTCTACACAGAACACCATGGCTGGTTCGAAGCTCTAGTCCCCAGCGGTATAGACTAGCTGAGTGACCTCAGGTGAGTAATAGTCACTCTCTGAGCTTTCATTTCCACTTGTAAAGTAAAATGGAAACAATAGATCCACAGCACCAGGTTATGGGAAAGGAAATGAGCACGTGGAGGCAGAGCGCTCCATAAATGCTAGTTATTATGATTCCTCTGGGCACACAAGCCCGTTTGCCTCCTCCCTCCCCCCAGGGCACACACAGACATGTTCACACTCTCACGTACGGATAGATGCACAGGGGTAGTGCAAACGCCAGCCGAGGAGCTCGCGGCTCCTAAGACCCAAGATAAACCGAACCCGGAGGAGAAGCTGCCGGGTCTTTCACTTCCCTCCTTTTTCTCTCAGTTCTTTATGAATGAACTGCGGCCGCAAGGAGTTTATTTTTTTATGAATGGGAGCTCAAGATGTGAATGAAGTCGGGAGCCAACCCCTTCATTCTGATTGGCCTCCGCGGGCTGGGAAACTCCGCCTTCAAGCTCAGCTGGATGAGTCTCCCGATTGGCGGGCGTGCCTGGCCCTAGGGTTTCATTCACAAAAGTCAATGAAACAAAGGGAACCGGTGGGGGGGAAAGAGAACCTAGGCCGAGGCCAAGAGGAAACGCACCAATCAGCTGCTCCCCCGAGCTCACAACTGTCTGCGGCACCCGGAAAACAAGCCGGTGCTCTGGGGACCCTGGGCCGCGGCCGCCTCCCTCCGGCCTAGCCCCGCGACCCCTGGTGGTGTGGTCCCCTGGGCATGCTCAGCATCCCCCCGCGGCTCCTGCACAGACGCCCCGGCCTCAGGTGAGGCTGCGGAAGGGGAAGGAAGGGAGAGAGTCCGTGATTCCCGGCTTCGCCTCCTGCACACCACACTCTCCTCTTGCCGCCCGCTTCCGCAGATTCCAGGGCGGGGGCAGGGGAGGAGGCGTCGGGATTAGGGGTTGGAGGGGGCGCGGGAGTTGTGGGCGTGCGGATGGTGTGCGCCGTGCGCGCGCGCGCGCGAGCGCACACACACACACACACACACACACACACGTCTTATGTAACCAAGCCTGGCTGAGCAGGGCTGCAGAAAGCAGAAACGCCGATCCCAGCTCTCCGGAGCAGGTGGGATCTGCTTTGGCGTGAGGGGAGTTGGTGGAGACATTCGGCCCGCCAGGCAGAGACCTACCCTTGGTCCCAGTGAGTCGGAGAAGTTTCACCGTCCGTCCCGAAGCCTCGCGATCGCCCCCCTCCCCGGCTCCCTCCCCACGCAGTTCTCCCCGGACTGTGTACGAACTCACATCCCCCTCCCGGTTCCAGGTCTCTGCCCCCGCGAGGGGGCCCGGCCGTCTGGCCGGAGGGAGCGGCCGGATGGAGCGGAGGATGAAAGGCGGATACTTGGACCAGCAAGTGCCCTACACCTTCAGCAGCGTGAGCGCCGCGCCGGCCTCTACGCCCGACCCCGCCCTGCACCCCGCCCCTACTCGCCCCACAGCCCGCTCCCCCGGGGCTTAGTGGGGTCCTGGGTGGCCCGGCCCCTGAGTCACCCCGGGACCCCAACCCCACCCCTCAAGCTAGATTCCACAGGGTGATTGGGGGCATTCTCCCCACCCCCTTCCTTCCCCCGCAGAAATCTCCCGGAAATGGGAGCTTGGGCGAAGTGCTGATGGTCCCACAGGGGAAACTCATGGACCCGGGTTCCCTACCGCCTCCTGACTCCGAAGGTAAAGAGACAGATTAACCGCGATCCTACTACTCAACCCACAAACATCCCGAGGCCCCATCCCGGACCCCCCACCCTACGTTTCCAAAGAAAGAAAAAAATCACCGCCCAAGGGTCTCAGGTCATTCTTCTTGGTCACTATCTCCACTAGGGAGGCGGTCACCGGGGCTCGCCAGTATCTCTCCACCTCACCACCAATTCCCTTATTCACCCCTCAGATCTCTTCCAGGATCTAAGTCACTTCCAAGAGACGTGGCTCGCTGAAGGTGAGTAGTTTTGTTGCCTTTTTCTATTACTGTAGGTAGAGGGTGGGGGCCCTTCTGTGCCTCAAGGAGCCCTTCAAGTTCCCCACCTCAACTCCCCAACCACTTCACTGTCTCCAGCACCCAATGTAGACACTTATATTGATATTTATTTTCTCTGCCCTGAGCCAGGCTTGTATAACTAGGCCTGGGGATGAATCAGACCATTGTGTGGGGTATTTGCTTATTTGAATGGAACTTGGCCTCAGGCCCGTTTTCCCTGGTTGAAAATTTCATTTGCAAAGTTTGTTTGGCAGGAGGCTCCAGGGCTAGGTGTAGTGTTGGGGTGTTGAGATGTTGGAAGGGGACAGTGAGGGGCAGGAGGATGAGTAGCAATTAATTTGTTACTTATCTTCAGGAGTGACTAAAACATTGGTTCTTACTCCCCTCCTTTCTCTTCCCAACTCCAAGGTCCAATTTACTGTCCAAGCCAAAAGAACAACAAAAGTTTCAATAATTCTTTTCTTGGTACTTTGGCAAAAAGGACTTAGGGCAGCCTCCCCAAATAGCCTTGATTGTAATTCCAGTGGCAACTAGTCCTCCCTCCATCCCTCCTGAATACCTCCACCCCCAGGCAATTGCCCCCGTTCCTGTATACTGCGGTCGTGAGCTGGCAGTATTGAAGTCAGTGGCTAGGCCTAGTCTGGGTGGAGCAGTATGTCCTAGTTGGACTCCTTGGTATGTTTTGGTGAGTTAGCCTGAGAGTGGCGCTGGCAGGACTGCAGGTGGAAGACCGCATGGTAGCTTACTGTCTGAGATTCAGTAAGGGTTAACACCCCCATCTTAGCTAACATCCCCTTTATATTAACACTCTAAAACCCAAGAAGCCAAAAGGCTGGTAACCCCTTCTTGAGGTCCTTTCTCTCCCTTAGGGTCTCCCCATCCATCTCTCCTTCCGGAGTGCCTTTCTTTTGGAATTTCAAAGCTCAAATCCACCTCTCCTAGGACCCTGTATTGGAGCCTGGGTGAAAAGAGAAAAACCTCTAACTAGGTCTGTGGTGTGAGATGAGGTCTGCCTTGGTCACTATCAAGTATACATTTATATATACATTGACAGAATGTTTAGCATGGAGCACTCCCTCTAGAAATGTGGAATTGAGGGGGGCAGTCAGGGGTCTAGGTTTGGAGGTATTCTGTACATTTCCCCCAACTGTATGTCCTGTGTGCCCAGCTCCAAGTTATAGACAGAGCTTTGCTGGATGGGTACACCCCCCTCCAGGTTCTGGAGCTGGGCTGGAGCTGAAAACTCAAAGGTGTCAGTTTCTATGAGCTCTCAAAGACTTCCTTTCTCACCACCTGATTTCTGATTTTGGCCTGGCTCTCCAGGTTCCTTTCCCTGCCCGGCAGCTGAGGGTCCCTACAGTGGGCAGCTCCCGGGTTGTATGTTAGGTAGGAGTGGACTAAGGGTGGCATTTTGGTGGCACTCAGCCTATCTGGATACGAAGGGGAGGAAAATGTTCTCATGGCTCAACTATGGAAGCCCCTCCCCTTGATGGTGGGTCTAGAGATTGTGTGTCTGCGTGTGTCAGTGTGACAGTGTATAGGCTTTTGTGTGTGTGTGTGTGTGTGTGTGTGTGTGTGTGTGTTACATACAGCTGCCTTGGGAGTCCCTGTACATCTAAAACCAGTGGGTGGAGAGGTGGGGGTGGGGAATGCAAGGGGGGGGTAGGATCTCCTTGGTTCCTTCTCCTTCCTCCTGAGGGAGCAGCTCAGGTTCCTAGCTGGCGATGGATGGCCAGGCCTGAGGGGGGGATGCTGAGGCCACTTGCTCCTCCTCACTCTCTCTGCGGAGACAGATGCAGCTGCCAGGGCCCTGTACCCCTGCACCATCCCAGCATCACCCTAATCTTCTCTCCTGCCTCTTCCCACCAGGTCAGTGGTCCCCCACAATCCACAAGGAGCTTTGGGGTGGAGGGAGGGATGAGTTCTGTTGGAAACTTGCCAGTGGTGGGGGACATCAGGAGGTCTGGGCCCAGAGTCCAACCTCCCCTCTCTCAGCTTGGTTTCTTCCTAAAGCCCCAATTTGGAGAGAAGCAGTGGATTCTCATACTGTGGGTGGGGCTGCGAAGGTTGTTTTGGCCGGGAGGGGCGGGGGGGGGCTGTGTGTGTGACCAGGCTGGACCCAAGCAGAAAGAAGCAGTGCAGCAGCTGCTGTCTGAGCTTTGGGGGTGAGTGTTGAAGCTCTTTAGAAGCAGCATATACATCTTGAGGGTTGAGATTTTTCTAGGCAGGAGGGGGATGAAGTGAGCCGAGGAGGGTGCATCAGGTTTCTGGGTGCTGGTGATGTGTTGAAATGTTGGAAAAAGGATCATGCTGCCACAGAGAAACCCAGGCTCAGGCAGGCTGAGCTAAGATGTGGCTGATTATGTAAAAGATTTGTAGACCTGATGGAGGGTTCTTTTGTGGGCTTGCCAGGAGCCTTCATGAGCCGGTGGGGACAATGACTGTGGTAGTGAGGAACATTGATTCTGAACTATGCACATCCTTTGTACGAAGTTGGGGGGGCGTCTGTGAATTCCCAGAGGGCTGTGGGTGGGGTGTTGGGTCCTTGATCTCTCTTTCTGTGTGTAAAATTGTTGGGCGTGCACCATACACAAAGGTATATGAATTTTTCTAGAAAGAGAACAATCCGTAGCTTTTATCAGAATCTCAAGGGATGGATCTGTGCCCCTCTATAAGAATCTGCCTCCAAACTCTCCTCCAACGGTTCCCGTCCCTTGGTTCTTTGGCTGCCTTATCTGTAGATCCAAAAAAAGACCCTATGTGTGGAGGGTGAGCATGGAGGACACCATCATCCATATTTTGCCTCAAGAGCGAGGTACAAGGAATTAGGGTGTGAGTGTGTGCTGCATGCTTGTGCCTCAGGGGGTTCTGTGGGAAGGAAGAGGTTTCATCTCCCCAGTCCTTCATAATTAAATGTCTCCTTCTCCATCTTTCTATCTCCTTTCCTTCCAGAAGGTTCCTGGAGAGGAATGTCCCCTCCACAGAGAACTGGTTCCTTCCAGTGTAGAAGCTACCGGGGTGGGGGCAGAGTGAGGGTGAGTGTCTGGGCTAGTGGTTGGTGATACAATGAAGCACTCTGAAGAATGCTATCATTCCATCCACCCTGGGATTGTGGCCACCCCCAGACAGGGCTTCTGAGGAGTAGGTGATAGGCTTGGCTGTTTCACCTTTCCATTTCTTCGGGAGCCCATCTTGGGAAGTCCTCCTTTACTGGCTCCCGGTCGGAGGGAGGGTCCCTAAAACTGTCTTTTTCTCTTTCTTTCTCTGGGCATTATACTGACTTGACATACCATAACCCCCCATCTTAATCACCTTAATCTTCAGCTAGGTTCCCAGCCAGATTAGTCCCACCTTAAGTGCCACGGAGCTGGGGCAGACTCTGGCACACTGGCTCAGCAGCCAAAACACAGCCGCATCAACAAATAGAATGGTTGCATGCTCAAGACCAAACATGGTAATTAAAATTTCTCCTGCTCTCCAGGAACGCGAGACTCTGTTTCTGTTCCTATTTCTATCCTCCTTGACAGTCTTCTGGGTAACTGAGGGCCCTGTTCTACACCTCTGGGAGAAAGCCAATATTTAAAGGGCTGAGCATGGACTGGGGTTCACGCCCTACCTTGAGAAGATGGCATCGACTCTTTGGGGGTATAATCTGTGTGCTAAGGGAGATCTCTCTGGGGGTTCTGAATAAACTTCCAAGCTTGAGGCAGGAGGAAAGGGCAGATGACCCCCAGGGCTCTCTAGCCCAGTGGCGTCAGCAGGAGATGCCCCTAGCCCATTACCTTACTGGAAACTGATAGTTAATTAGGCCCCAAGAGGGGCCCTAGAGTGCGTCATCCACCCCTGCCAAGTTCTGTACCCCCTTTCCTGCCCTCAGGACCCTCCTTGCCCAAGTAGCAGGAGGGAAATATTGCTCACCTGCCCTCGCCACCCTCTCCTTGCCACCTTTGGGGTATCTGTCTCTTTTGAAGTGGGAGGGAGCCACCCAGAGCAGCTGAGCAGTTTTGTGTCCTTCCCTGTGCTTTCCAGGATCATTTGTTGGAAATTCAGGTGCCTGGGCCACCTCTGGGCTATGGAATGAGACTCTCTAGGATTCAGAATTGGGAGTGGGTGTGGTTAACAAAGCCTAGGAAATTGTTCAGTCAAGCCACCTGAGGGATGGCTACTGTGGGGTTATCAGTGACCTTCCAAAAGGCTGGGGGTTATATGCATTTATGTCCCATTGATGTATTATTTGACCACTTTAGAATTGTGTTACTGATTTGCCACAAGTTCCTAACTGCTGGTGCCTCCTGGTTTTTAAACCCCCTCACCCTAATCTCTGTCTAGAAAACAACTATCTAAACCATGTTATCTAAGCCAGGCATGGTGACATAGTCCTGTGAGCACAGCCTTTGGGAGGCTGAAGCTGGAAGATTATGAATTCAAGGCCAGTTCTTGGCCACCTAATGAGACCCTGTCTCAAAAAGGGCTGGGGATACACAAGGACCCCACAGTCAATCCCTGCCATTGCAAATAAATAAGTAAATGGGAAATCAACTATCTATAAATCTGTATTTAAAAGGGGCACTTGGTACCTCTGGCATTTGAAGCAAATTAAAGATTTCTCCTGCCAAGCACGGGATCACAACCCAAGTATCCCTTGTAAGATGTATTTTTCTGGTGGCCTCTCCTCTTTGGGTAGATGGTATGTGGAGATGGGGAGGTGCAGGGTGAGGGAAGGGCTGGCTGGGTTAGGGTCTTATTTCTTCTGGCTCCCTAGTACTGCCAACCTGAGAACAGAGCTCATTGTATATTAATACATAGACACCAAATAATCCTTCAGCATCTATTCAGAGTGGGTCCCTGTTCTGGATGCTAAAGAATCCATTGCAGACAGAACTGGTCTTCACAGCTTAACTTCTTGGAGAGATGGACAGACATTAACATGTGAATATATGTTAATAAGCTACCTTGAGGTAGCCATAGGCACATAAGAAATAAAGATAAAACAGATGAGATGGAGGAGAACCAAGGGGGAGCATGTTGCTTTGGGTGGTCCCAGAAGGTCTTGGAATCAGCCTGGCAGGGTGCTTAACTGTAATCCCAGCCCTCCTGTGGAGTCAGGAAGATCATAAATTTGAGGTGAACCTGGGCTACCCAGAACAGCATGTGAGGCTCTGAGGAAGAAGGACCCAGCTCTCTGGGCCCAGAGAGATGAGCAGAGGTCAACAGCAAGCGTTTAAATTTCACATTTTGAGTAAGAGAGCAATGTGATTTGATTTCTGTTGTAAAAAGATCACCCTGCCAGCTGTGTGGAGCAGTCTCTCTCTCTCTCTCTCTCTCTCTCTCTCTCTCTCGATGAGTCAGAAAGTGTTAGGGCTCTCTGTGGCTAAGATCCTAGTCAGAAACCACAGAGCTTTGACCCGTGGGATGCAGAGGAGACAGTGTGTGTGCTTTCATGGGATTGGGGTAAGGAGTACTCTCTATTCACTGGCTTGGACTCCTCACCAGTCGTTCCAACCTCTGAGTTTTATCCAGCACTTTCCACATTGGCCAATCTGAGAGCAGACTCCCAGGGAGTGAGAGTCTAGTCTCTTTGGGCTACAGGCTCCGTTGTCCTCTTTCAGACCCATTCTTACCTTAGATGATCAGGAAGTCTTTCTTTGTGTCTGTTCTTCTTCCTGATGTAATCCCCCCCCCCTTTTTTTCCCCTCTTGAAAGAGAGGCAAAAATATATACAAACTGTGGAGCCCAGGGAGGTACTCCTATAGTCTTACCTGTGATACCCACCCCTGAGGAGTGCTCTGTAGACCTCCAGCCCTGGGAAGCCCTCCCCTACTCTGGCTGCACATCAACCATGAGACACTGCCTCCAACCTCCTCTCCCATTGTTACCCTCTCTCTCAGGGCTCTTAAGCTTCCCTCTTTCCTCTGTTCCTACCCCTTTGTCAGGCTCCAGAACTCTTATGTGCCTCAAAATCATCTAGGAAGTTATTTGAAATGTAGATCCCTAGGCCCTCCCCAAATGAGACTCTCCCCCATCTGATCCTAAGTTCACAGGATCCCACAGTTTGTAATTCTCTTCCTCCCCGTCCCTATGGGATTTTGCTGTGAGCTCTGATGAAACCATGTAAACTTTGAAGGGCTGAAGGGTGGGTCCACCTGTGTTTCAGAAAAATGCAGGAAACACAAACAGAGCATCCAGGCAAAGCCTGGAATCTGCTCAGACTCATTCTTGGAGGCCTTGGGGGTCTTCATAGAGCCAGAGATGGCAGTAGGACCTGGGGTGGAGTCACCCTCTGTTTGAAGTTCTTGACCCCTTCTGAACTGGTGCTAAAGTGCAGGTTGGTAGAATTGGTGTTTTCCTGGGGCTGCCACACAGGACCCTGCCCTAGGCTCACCTCTGGCCTCTCTCTCTTACAGCTCAGGTACCAGATAGTGATGAGCAGTTTGTTCCTGATTTCCATTCAGAAAACCGTGAGTAGTGAGCACTGAGCAGAGGAATGGGAGAGGGGGTGGGGAATGGGACCGGAAGTGAGTCATGGGGACAGGGAGTCATCCAGAGCAGAGCAGTTTGCTTTAACCTAAAGATGGGGTGAAGGTCAGGGCTCCCCATCCTGGGATACAGACCAAGACAGTGACTGAGAGATGAAGACCTTTGGTTGAGTCTAGGGCTAGTAGTGCAGCCTGACCCAGCTCTGTTCTCTTATTTGCTTTCAACTCCGGTGAGGTTGCCCCCAGGAGACATTTGGCTATGCCTGTGAAGAGTTTTGGGTTGGATGCTAATGGAGGTCAAGGTGCTGCTAAAAATACCCTATAATCCTCAGAACATCTCTTATCTCCCCTGCCCTAATCTGGCCTCAGCAGCACAAGTATCACTGTTGAAAAACCTGAACTCACACCTGTAATCCTAACCATCAGGAGGGAAAGACAGGAGGATAGTGTGTTTGAGGCCAGCCTCCATATAGAGTGAGACATTGCCTGACATTTTTTTTTTTTTTAGAAGCAAAGAAAGAAGGAAAGACAGGATGATTAGGTATCAGATACTGTACATCTGTCTTCATCAATGGAATGTAATGGGCACAAACATGGGAAACAGCACATAACAGAACCAGGGATTCCAGGGCATCTGACTAGACTGCAGGAAGCCAGGATGCCACTCACCCCAGGGCTCAGCCACAGTGGTGGCTGGACTTAGAGAGCCCAGCAGGGGCCCAGGAAAGACCAGTGTTCTTCATAGATAATTAGGAGCATGTGGATGTTATTCAACTGACATTCAATTGGGCTAACATCCAACCAGAAAAATGAAAGAATCTCTATAGACTCAAATAAGAAAATTCCCTTGGAATTTTCTAGGGCACTCAAGAAAACCAAAGCCCCTGGGTTGGAGATACTCACTCCTAGGAAATTGTTTCCTGGGCTTCTGGTGTGCGTGCTGAACTCTTGGGTGGTTCCCTTGGTTAATACCAGACTTTAGCCTGATGTATAAAACTAGATAGAACGTGAGTGACCAAAGTGTTCTGAAAGTGACTGAAAACTGAGAGCAGGAGACTGTGCTAGTGGCCTAACTAGTCCTCGGGTCCCCAGAGAGCAGAGGTGTCAGAAGTCCTGCCTGCCTCTACTCTCCAACCCTGCTCTCCAACCCGCAGTAGCTTTCCACAGCCCCACTACCAGGATCAAGAAGGAACCCCAGAGTCCCCGCACAGACCCGGCCCTGTCCTGCAGCAGGAAGCCGCCACTCTCCTACCACCATGGCGAGCAGTGCCTTTATTCAAGGTGAGCCCAAGTCTAGGATGGTGTGGTGAAAGGGAACAGAACAAGGCTTTGACTAAGGGAAGAGGACGGGGTAGCCCTGAGCTGAGGCAGCAGTAGAGAAGAACGTTAGACAACTGAGGATTTCTTAGCTCCTATGAGACAGCATCACCAAGCATTCGTCTCAGTAAGCAGGAGGCACCACATAGTGGACAGCGGACCTCAGGTATACCAAGGCCTGAGCACAGTGAGTCTCTACCCAGAGGCCCTCTGTTCTACTCAAACCAGTTGCTCCGGGCTGTGGAAAGATATTCTCAAACTGAGGCCCACTTACAGGATTAAGGAAAGGGGAAAAGGAATTCACTTGGGACCAGGGATGTAGCCAAGTTGGTAGAGTGCTTGCATGACATAAACTGGACATGTCATCTTAGCGCTTGTGGAAACAGAAGGATCAAACATTTAAGGTCATCATCAGCTACATAGCAAGAATTTGAGGCTAGCCTGGAATACATGAGACCATCTTAAAAAAAATAATCACATGGGGCTAACTCCCAGCCCCTCTATTCCTATAATTGCTATAATCACTTCCTTGGGGATGAAGGGCATAAAGACGGTCTCTTAGCTTCTCTGCCCCCTCATCCCCATCTCCCCCTCAACTCCAGTGCCTATGACTCCCCCAGACAAATCGCCATCAAGTCCCCTGCCCCCGGTGCCCCTGGACAGTCACCCTTGCAGCCCTTTCCCAGGGCAGAACAGCAGAGTTTCCTGAGATCCTCCAGCACTTCCCAGCCCCACCCTGGCCACGGGTACCTCGGGGAGCACAGGTAAGGAGACAGATCCACTGCACCTGGGGACCCAGACTTCGCCAGGCAGTCTGGGCTCAATTCCTAAGTTCTCCACAGAGACCTAGCTGGGAGGAAAAGGGGAAAGGGGAGATACTGTCACACATATTCCACCAGAGCCCTGTCAACTGTCCTGGGTGCAGGCTCAAGGTGGGGTGGGGGCTAATGTAAGATTCTCTTCTCTTTCTTCTCCATCCAACTGTCTAGCTCCATCTTCCCGCAGCCCCTCGACATGTGCCACTCCTTCACGTCTTCTCAGGGAGGGGGCCGGGAACCCCTCCCAGCCCCCTACCAACACCAGCTGTCGGATCCCTGCCCGCCCTACCCCCAGCAGAACTTCAAGCAGGAGTACCATGACCCCCTGTATGAACAGGCTGGCCAGCCAGCTGTGGGCCAGGGTGGGGTCAGTGGGCACAGGTACCCAGGGGCGGGGGTGGTGATCAAACAGGAGCGCACAGACTTCGCCTATGACTCAGGTAAGAGACTCTCCTGGGGAGGGCTCTGAGTTTTTGTGGGATTGCCAGGTGGGGGTGGCAAACAGTCTTGTGAGCAGAGTTGTAAGCATAGGTCTCAAGACCTCTGTTTTCACCATTCCATGGTCTGTTTACCAGTTCATAATCCAACTTACTCATTTACCTTCTGTATTTTTCTCATATTTAAAAAAATTGTCCTTTTCCAATCAGCAAACATTCAGACAAAAAGATAGGGGTATGTAGACCTCTGCCCTCAAATAGCTTTCAGCAGTAGGAAGGGAAGGTATTTATTTTATGTATATGAGTATATTGTCTTCATATATTTTATGTGTATAAGTGCACCTGTGTCATGTAATGCCTGAGGAGGTCAGAAGAGGGCATTGGATCCCCTGAAACTAGAGTTAGGGACAGTTGTTAGCTGTCATATGGGTGATGGAATCCAACCTGGGTCCTCTGCAAGAGCAGCCAGTGCTCTTAACTGCTGAGCCATCTTTCCAGCCCTTATTTCTATGTTATAGATGTTTGGGGTCTTAATTAACCTACTAAGACCAGGGGACATGATAGTGCTGAGTTGGAGGATACAAAAATGAGATTATCATTGGTCTTTTGTTGCCACAGCAGTTTAAAAATACAAAGGAAAGCTGGGTATAGAGGTACATGCCTATTGTTCACTTGGGAGGCAGAGGCAGGTGGATCTCAGGCCAACCTGGTCTATTTAGGAGTTCCAAGCCAGCTAGGGTTAAGGGAAACCCGGTTTCAAAAAGAAAAAAAAAATAAATTAAATTACAAAGGGAACTGAGTGTGTGCACCCCTGTAATCTGAGCACTTGGGAAATAGAGAGAGGAGGCTCAGGATCAAGGCTAGCCTGGGCTACAGTGTCTCAAAAAGAGAGAGAGAGAGAGAGAGAGAGCTGGGTGTGGTTGCTCATTCTTATAATATTAGTACCCAGGAGGCTGGGGCAGGAGAATGGTCATGAATTTAAGGCTAGGCTTGGGCTACAATATGTGTTCCAGGCCAGTATGAGCTACAGAGTGAAACCCTGTCTCAAAAAACCAAAATAAATGGCCTGGTTTGATGGCACACGCCTTTAATCCCAGCACTCACAGAGGCAGAGGCAGATGGATCTCTGTGATTCCAGGCCAGCCAGGGCTATATAGTGAGACCCCCGTCTCAAATAAATAAATATAGCTAGAGATGAGAGGAGGCTCTGAGCTGGCTGGAGTTTTAGAAATTTTCTTTTCCTGGTGCCTATAGTCTTTTAGATGCTGGGGTGGGGGTGGGGGCTGAACCACAAACCCCCGAAGCCACTCTGGGAGAACAGGATGGGTGCTCCCTTCCTCTAACCCTGGCCATAAGCCTGTTCGGGACTAGTGAGGTGGCGGGAGGAAGAGGGAGACTCGCAGAGCTGCTGACCTTCAAAGGCTGTAGACCGGAGGGGATCGTGTTACATGCCCTTGAACTCCTGCTCCTCCTCCGCTGGGCTTTCCTGAATGGAGTCTGGAATTCCATTCACAAAATGGAGGCATGAATGAACCCACCGTCCCTCCTACTCCCGGAGGTGTCAGGTTTCAGCGCTCATTCATAGGTGGGAGTGGAGGGGGCGGGAAGGGGTCGGAACTTGACCCGGTAGCTTCACACTGCAGCCTTAGGTGGAGCTGGGGAGGTGTCAATCCTGCGCCAGGGAAAGCAGTGGAATGTGCTATTAGACCTGAAAAAAACCAGCCTAGTGCCCACTGCCTCCCCCGATGTGTGCATGCTTCACACACACACACACACACACACACACACACACACACACACACACACACAGGCACCGGGCTTGGAACCTGAGCTGCTGGACCGGATGCGTGTCCATTCTGGGGAAGTCTTAGGTGAACCCTTACACACACGCACACGTACACACACCGCTCCCCCTCTACCCGGAGGTTCATTTCTCACCACCTCCTTCCCCTGAACTCACAGGAAACAGCTGCTCCCAGGAATCTTGGGCCTTGTGGAAGTGCTTAGGCCCAGCTGCTGCCACACACATCTACCCCAGCCCTCCAGCTGAGAGCCTGAGGCCTTGAACTCCCTCTGGATGAACTTCTCCTGGGATTTGGTGGTGGGAAAAGGACAGTCACTGGAAGACACAGGCTAACAGGAAGAACTTGAATGTGTGTAGGGCTTCCTCCTGTCCTCCACCTCAGCCTCTTACAAAATCACCCTTTCTTCTCTCCCTCAGATGTCCCTGGGTGTGCATCAATGTACCTCCACACTGAGGGTTTCTCTGGGCCCTCTCTAGGTGATGGGATGATGGGTAAGGCAGCCCCTTCCATCCTAGCCCAAGACCTCCAAGTTTTGGGTAACAGTCATGTTGTCGGGGAGGGTCACCCCACCCCGGAGGCCCTGTGGACTTTTGGGGGTCTCCTATCTGTGAACTCTCAGATCTGAGCAACCTCCAACTTCCTCCACAAGGTTATGGCTATGAGAAATCTCTTCGACCATTCCCAGATGATGTCTGCGTTGTCCCTGAAAAATTTGAAGGTCAGAGAAGTGACTTCATGGGAGGGTCAGGGTCTCCTCCATCCCCCAACACACAGTGTCCTAAAGGAATCACATTTCATTGTTGGGAAAGGTCAAGACACTCAAGAAAGGGTCTGGAGAAGCCCCTTTGGGGAAGCCCCCTGGGAAAGGGGACGAGGTTGGTGGGGGACAAAAAGACATGCACCCCAAACCTTCTCTGACCTCATTCCCAGGAGACATCAAGCAGGAAGTGGTCGGAGCTTTCCGCGAGGGGCCACCCTACCAGCGCCGGGGTGCCTTGCAGCTGTGGCAGTTTCTGGTGGCCCTGCTTGATGACCCAACAAATGCTCATTTCATTGCTTGGACTGGCCGGGGAATGGAGTTCAAATTAATTGAGCCTGAAGAGGTGGGTCTTAGGTGTTCCTGCCCCTCCTCCAGCTTTGGAGCCTCAGATGAGAACCTGGGAAATGGCACTTGCTCTTCCTGACCTAGATTCTCTCCAAGCCTGAGTCTGTGAGCTGTGCTGGTCCCTGGCCTCACTTCCCTCTGCACCAAGAGTCTCAAATGCTCTTTCCACCCCAAGACTTGCCTCTTTTGTCTCCAGGTTGCCAGACTCTGGGGCATTCAGAAGAACCGGCCAGCCATGAATTATGACAAGCTTAGCCGCTCACTGAGATACTATTATGAGAAAGGCATCATGCAGAAGGTCAGGCTGAGGCTCGAGCACAGCAGGGTGGGAGCCACGGATGTGAGGAGGGGACAAGGGAAGGATGGGAGGTTATTTCGTAGCAGGTTTGTTGGAATAGAAAATGTCAATCCCGAAGTTCCCCCCAACTGCAAAGATGCTAAAAGTAGCTAAGGCCTCACATATGGAGAGATTAGGATGGGACACAAATACCAGAGGGAAATCAGTGTGGGAGGGAAGGGATCCTATACCTTTTCATGGCCCAGAAGCACAAGCTTCCCCTAGCTCTGTACTGAGGCAGGGGCCTAAATGGGCTGACCCAGCCCTCTCTTTACATAGGTGGCTGGTGAGCGTTATGTGTACAAGTTCGTGTGCGAGCCTGAGGCTCTGTTCTCTCTGGCCTTCCCGGACAATCAGCGTCCAGCTCTGAAAGCCGAGTTTGACCGGCCAGTCAGTGAAGAGGACACAGTCCCTTTGTCCCACTTGGATGAGAGCCCTGCCTACCTCCCAGAACTGGCTGGCCCTGCTCAGCCCTTTGGCCCAAAGGGTGGCTACTCTTACTAGCCACCATGGGTGGGAGCTGCCCAGTGTACATATTGGTGTATTTGGTGTTGGGGAGCCCCCACTGATACCCACGGAAATCTCTAGGGCAGATCTCTGTCCCATCTGTTGCCCTGGGCCAGACTCAGATGCTCACTGGAGTCTGGGGAAAGGAAAAATGGAGGCAGGTCAAGTTTAAAGGCCATGTTACTGAAGCGCCCCGTGGTTTACCTCTGCCCGCAGTTCAGCTCAGTCTCTAGGTCTTGCTTAGAGGCCCAAATCCCAGTTCCCTTCCCCCACCAGAGAACTAGTATCTCTTCTGTTCTTGGGACAAGGGGTTTCCCAAGTTTATTATAACAGCAGGGCCAAGGGGGTTCCCTGAACTCCCCAGTTCTCCTGTAGGAGACTGAAGCCTGGGCTCTGCCCTGAACTAGGGCCCTGTGTTCTTGGTGCTCTGTGCTTCCGGAGGCAGGAGCAGGTGGAAGGAACCTGTGGTGGGTGCTGGGGGAGGCAGAAGAAAGGGGTCCTGCTCCCAGGGGCCCTCTGGCTCTTCTCTGCCTTTTGTAGGCCCACCCAGGTCTAGATTCCACCTCCATCTCATCTGCCAGACCTTAATAAAGGCCCCTGCTTCTCCTGTTAGCTCTTCTGTTCTGCTTCCGTGGGTCAAGGACCTGGGGTGGGAAGAGCTATGGCTGTGGAGCAGAGGGCTGGAGTTCGGGGAGTATCCCAAGGCCTTAGAGGATGACATAGTGATGCCCTTGTCCCTGTTTTCCTGGCCCAAACAATCCCTTGCCCATCTGGAAAAAAAAAGAGTTCACCTCTTGACTCTGATTTTCCTCTGAAAAATGGGCTTCATGAAACCTCCTCTTCCCTGGAATCATGTGAAGACCCAGAAATAATGGTCAAAGGGTATTTTTAACCACCCCTTAGCATGATTGGTCTCTCATTGGGTGCTTGATCTATAGCCCTGCCATTATAGTAGTTCTCATGACCATGCAGTCTGTGAGTGCCCCAACTGCTAGTCCTACCCAGGCTCCAGGTGGCTGCTGTCACTGGGGTTAGAGGTAAGCAAAGATGGGAGGGGATGGGAATGCAGGTTCTTGGCAGGCCAGACAGGGACTAGATCTTCAGGGTGATGGTAGTGTGAACATTCCTTAGACCAGAGTCCTGGAGAGAATAGTGACAGGCAGTGTGACTGAGGAGCTAGGACAGAAATAGCCCAGGAAAAGGAAGGAAGAGAAAGGGTGTGTCCTAGAGTCATCCCTTGTAACAGCTTCTCCAGAGCTGACTTAGGTAAAAACAAGTCCAGCTTACAGAAACCCAAACACTACCTACAAATAAAAAGCAACACTTATTTCTAGAAACACAGAATATCTGCTTTGCAATTTAAAACAAGAGACCCAAAACCAAGTCTTCAAAAACAAGTTTTAGGACTAGTGAGATGGTTCAGTGGGTAAGGGTACTTGCTGTCAAGCCTAAGGGACTGAGTTCCATCCCTGAGACCCATGTGGTAGAAGGAAAGAGCCAACTCTCATCAGGTTGACTTCCACACTCATGGTGGCACGTGCCCCACCCACCAATAAATAAATGTAAACAAGAAAAAGCCTCATAAATTTAAAAAATATAATTTCACATTAGAGCCAGGACTGGTTCAAGGTCACTCTTAGCTACATATTCATGAGTTCAAGACTAGCCTGGGCTACACTGTCCCAAAAATAGGGGGGAAGAAATCAGATGGAAACCCTCAAAGCGTTTACATGAGGCACATCCCAAGGGCTCCACAGTGCCACAGCATCAGAACTTCAAGTACTTCAGCTCAGGCAATACTGCTCCCATGAGGCATCTACAGCAAACGTTGAGGTTAAATTCTTTAGGCTAGCTGGGTGCTGTGGCACATGCCTTTTAGTCCCAGCACTCAGGAGGCAGAGGCATGTGGATCTCTGAGTTCAAGGCCAGCCTGGTCTACATAGTTCCAGGCCAGTTGGGGCTACAAGGAGACCCTGTCTCAAAAAGACAAAAAAAAAAATTCTTTGGGCTAAAGAAGGTGTCATCAACACCCAATAGTGTTCCCACATGGATAGAGAAAACTTAGACCCAGGAACCGATCCCAGCAGCAGAGCTTACACATGCCCAAACACAAAGACTGAAAATTGCACTAAGCTCCTGTTAAGGTGAACAATATACTTTAATATCAAGAAGATTCCAGTTCTGTGCATAAAACCTACATTCTTTTCTGGGTTCTCAGATCTTAATATTGGCTCAAGAAAAAAGCTGGGTGTAGTGGCACACTCCTTTAATCCTAGCAGTGGCAGGGAGATCTCTATGAGATCAAAGCCAACCTGGTCAACATAGGGAGTTCCAGGCCAGCCAAAGCTACAGGGAAACTGTGTCTCAAAAACCAGAGAGAAAACAAAGCTGGGCCTGGCGATGTACACTTGCAACCTCAGTACTCAGGAAGATGAGGCAGGAGAATGAATGAATTCAAGGCCAGCCTGGGCTACAGAGTAAGACCCTGTCTCAAAACACAAACACACATGAAAATCATAGCCAAGTGCCTCACTGTATAACAACAGCAAGCCAGCTCTCCTGATTCTGAACAGATTTCCCCCCTTCAGAGCAGTCTCGGCTCTGTGATTGAGGTGGCTATTCTAATGGACAGTCAAATAAGTGGTCAGACCCACTCACTGCCATAGTGCGGAAGTGATCCCAGATCTCAGGTAGACAGGGTGAAGAACAGCCACACAGCTGGGATCCTACTTAAGGCAGAAGGATAACCAGCTACTGTCCCTACATCCTTTCTAGGGCTGGTCATATAGAGCACTTTTATGAGGCCCTAAATTCAGTCTCTAATCCCACACGAGAGGGGAAGGGCAATGAGACAGAACAAGGAGAGAAAGGCTTCAATCCCAGCTTAAACTCAAAGCTCAGGTACCAACATGCTAGGCACATTGCTGGGACTGGTTGGGCTGGCATGGCTCAGGACTACTCCAGAACAGGGAAGCTCAGGCAGGAATAAAGACCGAGGAGCCTGAGCTTACTTTGGCAGCACATATTAAAACTGGAATAATTTAGAGATTAGCATGGTCCTGTGCAAGGATGGCATGCAAAGCCATGAAGTGTTAGATCCGCCTGCCTCTGCCTCTGCCTCCCGAGTGCTGGGATTAAGGGCATGTGCCACCACACCCGGTGTGTTCCATATTTTAAAAGACTGGGAGCTGGGCATGGTTGCACACACTTTTAATCCAAGCACACAAAAGGCAGAGGCAGGTGGATCTCTGTGAGATCAAAACCAGCCTGGTCTACATGGCAAGTTCTAGCCTAGCAAGGGCTACAATGATATCCACAGTGTTCTGGATTCCTGTCCTAGTCTCACTGAGGAACACACTCCGGCGCTCTCAGCTGAATGAAGTGAGGGAGCTGTCAGCACATTCTGGATTCCTGGACTTGTGTCTAGGATGTACTGCCAGTGATACCAAACACTGCTACTTACCCTAGAATGTTGTAGTCTTTCAATGTCTGCCACATAACTCTGAAGTTCTAGTACTAATTTTAGAAGTTACTGACAAGGCAAGGGAGCAGCAGGAAGGATGCAATGGCACAGGACAAGCCCAATGGCCCCCAGGCTCCACTACAATCCCCATAGTCTAGCATCACCGTAGTTGCTTTGAAGAGCAATGGGAAGAGGATATTCCCAATCAAGTGCTAGAAGAAAAACTAAATGAAAAAGCAGCCCCAGTGAGGATGGTGGTCAGCACAGACCAGATGAGAGGAGTCATTTGGTTTCTGCTAGCAGTGAAGGAAGGGAAGGTTTTGTTCAAGTCCACTGAGGACTTCAAGGGGACAAATTAAACAGTGTCATTACTTGCTGTGTTTCCAAAGAAATGGACACACTGTTCACTGAGAGTATGACGGGTGGGGGACAGAGGGAGAACTTTGCATGTTTAGATGCAGCATATGTAACCAGATTGAAGTGCTCTGGCATGAATGTGGTCAATCCCACCCACGAGCTGACAGGGCTGGGCTAACCCCACTGATGCTGAAAGACAGACTGGAGGTCTGGCCTGTGCATCATATCTGGGTCCAATGAGGCCTGGGCTCTGGTTTGATCTGTCATATGCACCAGAGCCATAGATACTAAATCTCCCTTATGGGGCTAGAAAGATGGCTCAATGGTTAAGAGCACTTGACTGCTCTTGCAGAGGACCCAAGTTAATTCCCAGCACTTACACAGCAGTTAACAACTGTCCATAACTCCAATTCCAGGGAATCCAATGTCCTCTTCCGACCTCCATGGGCACTGTACAACATGGGTGCACTTACACACATGCAGGCATAGCACTCATACACATAAAATTAAAAATAAACTCCCTCACAACTCATT